TAATACAGTTCTTCATGTTGCGGTGACCCCCCCCCCCGCCATAAAATTATTTCATCGCTTCGTCATAACTGTAATTTTGCTACTGTTCTAAACCATAATATAAATGACTGATATCCAGGATATCTGATGTGTGACCCCCCAAAGGGGTCAAGACCCACAGGTTGAGAACCACTGCTCTAGAGAATTAGGCTGAGTGAGGAAAGCCAATCCACAAGCATCATCTACAGTGAGACTAAAAAAGTTCTTGAAACAAAAAACAATGACAGAAAAACATAGAAGTGTAAAGGAGGTCTGGAAGCCAACTGCAAGAGAGCATGGCTGTAAGACACCAACACTAGGCTCTGACACTGATAGAAATGCCTTGTAGTATCAATGTAAACACCCCAACTGTGATATTGTTCTGTAGATTCTTCTCAGGAAGTCACCATTAGGGGACACTTGACAAAATGTAAATGGCATCTCTCTGCATTATTTCTTACAACTATGTGACTCTGTAGTTAACTTATAATAAATTTTAATTTAAAAAATAGAAATAGCAAGGAAAATGGACAAGCTACTGCTGCACAATCATGCCTGAGAGCCAGATGTGTCTGTTTGTGATCTAGTGTCGGCTACAAGTAAGTATCTACGTCATATACTATTTTTTTAAGTTTACCAAGGGAAACGAAATGTCCCAAGATAAGCAGGCATGGAGAAGGAATGATTCAAGTTGACCACAATGAAGGTTAAAGGCTGGGCATGAGAACTCTAGGTTTCTAGTCACAACTGTTACACTAATGTACTTAACAGCTATTTCTTCAGCACATACTAGGTGCCAGATGCTGTTCTGCTTGTTGGGATACACTTGTGAACAACGAAGTCAAATCCTCCAGGAGTGGACCGAGCAAATGCTTACCGCGGAGGTGTATGCTTACTGCGGAGGTGTATACTGGAGAGAGCTGATAATGATAGTGTCGTGAGTATCATTACTGACCTTCAACTAGAGAAGAGAGAAGAAAGGAAAACAAAAAGAAAGCCATGTTCCTCAGAAAAGACTATAAACAGATGCGCGATGTCGGCTAGTGATAAATTCTAGGAGGGAAGGCAAACCTACCCTTCCACAGAGTAATTCAAACTTTACGAGGTCTCCAGAAGAATGTCTCTTTCAACCTTACAACCTTACCAAAGACGATCAGCAAAGTGTCTCAGCCCTCACACAGGCCAAAACTGGACCTCAGTGGGACAGAAAGCACACACAACCCAGGGCTGGGCCGATGAGAGGGACATTTCTCTGACAGAGCGGGCAGAGACCTGGATGAAATGGGGAACTGATTGCCACCCCAGTACACCAGTCCGGAAAACCACTCGAAGTCACTAATTCTTGGGTGCATTCACATCGATTATCTATTTTTTAACTTCCACCGTAATATCAGGGAGTGATTTAAACAGTTGCTCCTGTTTAAAAGCTCAGAAAGGCTGAGCAACTTTCTCAGGATCACACAGAGAAGTACTGGCGGGGCTGGGGGTGGGGTGGGCGGGAGTGCTCCAAGCCAGGGCCTGTTTATTCCCAATTCTTGCTTTGCACAAAGTTCCAGAGACTAAGGCAGCCGCCACACGCGTCCCCACCCCTGCAAGATACCTTCAGCAGGCTCTGGAGGGCCGCGAAATGCTCCGCTGTCAGGGCCGCCATCTTTCTGGAGTCACGTGACAGTATGAGCAAGCGGGGCGTTCCACATGACACCTCGTGGGACATGCTGGGAGTTGTAGTTCTTTACTGTGGCAGGCGGGGATGGCGTAAGAGTACTAGGGTGTGCAGAAGACCCGGAAGAAGTCTCACTCCAGGATGGCTAAACTCAAGGACCAGAGGGCCGAGATGCTGGGAAAACTCGGGTATAGGATGGTTTCCAGGGAGCAACTGTCTGGACTTTCTAATTCAGAGAAACTGGTGTTGCCTTTGCCCTTCTGAGTAGGCTGGCTGATTTGGGGAATACATCTGCAGGCTTGGCAGGCACCTTGGCAATACAGACATCCAGAAATGATCAGCCTACTCGCCATCTGGATTTAAACGAAGCAGTGCCTATTTGAATTCTTGGAATTCACACACATGCATGCATGCATGCACACCCGCCGTATACCCTGAAAAAAACGCAGTGCTCTTAGGCACATGGTTTCTTTTCTGTTTATGGAGAAGTAGGGGCTTGACATTATAATTAGCCTTATCCAGAGAGTGAGGCCAAATCATTTAGGGTTCTTAGTAACTTTCCTGTTTGAAGAATAGGCGTTCGGGAAAGAGGTCAGAAAGCAGGAAGGCATATGAAAGTATTACCTATCTCAGCGCTGCTTGTCTCGGCCATGGTCTCCCTGGACTCTTTGCCTAGCGAGCATCTCTTGCTCTGGGAACCCAGTGTTGAGGCTCATGGAGTGAGGAACTGAGGCCTGCAAACGCCTCCTTCCTCGGAGGCAGAACTACGACCTCTAGAGAGTCTGAAAGCAGCAGTAGCCAGGCCAACAGCTAACCGCAACCTTGTTATGGGTTGAAATCTACCTGACAGGCTCACGCTTTGACCACTTGGTCCCCAGCTTGGGGGGCTGTTTTGAATGTTGTGGAACCTTCAGGAACTGGGACCCTGGCTAGCACATGTCCCTATGGGCAGGCCTTTGAGAGCTGTACTACTTCTGGTCCTGGCCTGTGTGCTTGGTGTCTAGTCTGCTACCGTGTATATATACCTTGCCTATATATCACTGCCACCATGCTCTGCCGTGTTGGATACAACTTCTGAAACCCCGAGCCAAAACGAGCCTTCCTCCTCTGAGTTGCTCCTGTCCAGTACTGTGCCGTGGTGTCACGACAGGGGCCAATTCAAACCTCTTGCGACGTCGGAGGCAGAACCACTCAGCTGAGCCACCCCAGGGTTTCCAGCCTTGAAATACTGTGTAAGATTTTTAAGGGCAGCCTTCCCATATCCTGAATCAAAGTGGCTGCAGGCTGTGAGCCTCCAGCCCAAGGCACTAACCACTGCTTGCCAGCTACTAGGGAAGGCTCACAGCCCAGCGGAGCAAAGATGGAGGCCAAAACAGCCACCTCCACTGGCATGTGTGGCGCTCTCTTTGCTGGGTACTACATCTACTTCAGCTGCAAGATGGGGTATGACTCCAGTGTCAAGAACTGGCTTCCAGAACTAAGAAAGAAACAGAAACCTGTGCCGGAGGGAGCTAGGCTTTCCCTATCACTTGACTTTAAAGATGCCATTTTTTTTTTTTTTTTTTTGATTTTCGAGACAGGGTTTCTCTGTGTAGCTTTGCGCCTTTCCTGGATCTCGCTCTGTAGACCAGGCTGGCCTCGAACTCACAGAGATCTGCCTGCCTCTGCCTCCCGAGTGCTGGGATTAAAGGCGTGCGCCACCACCGCCCGGCTAAAGATGCCATTTTTAACTTGAATAAACACAACTAGGTGAAGAGTTACCAGGGAAAGATGAATGTGCCAAGGGCGTGGAGCACCAGAGGCATGCCACGGCAGTGTGTGGGCAGCCTCAGCAGCTGCTGCAAGGGTCATAGCTGTCGCCACCGCCACCACCAGTCTTCCAGATGCCACTAACCAAACTTCTAACCATTAGTGAGCAAATTGTAAGTGCTCAGTGCTTGGCTGGAGGTGATGTGGAGTGTGCCAGATATCAACACGATAAAATGTCAATTAAAATGCTTCCAAAAAAATTCTAAACTTGGAAACTGAGCAGCTGTGTGGGAATAAGGGCAGACATGCTTGTTATAGACTGTCCTGCACTGAAGTCTACCAAACTGAATGTTTGCTGTGAACAGATTCACTTCTCTGTTTTATTTATTTATTTCCTGTGGAAAGTGCATCTTGACAGAGCTCTTTAATTGATAGATACACTTTAAGTTATCAGACTATCGTGGGTTTCATTTATTTCTTAGGACATGCAATTACGATGTAAATGCAGTAGAACACGTCTCTTCTGGTTTCATCTCTGTTGCTGCTACAATTATGCTGACAGAAAGCAATAGACAGGAAGAAAGGGTTTGACTTACAGTTCCAAGTATCAACCCATCATTGAAGCAGGAGCTTGAGACCATGGTCACACCACATGCACCAGGAGCCGAGAGAAAAACAGATGCACCTATGCTGTTTGCTTGCTGCTCACACCCAGCTACCCTTCATCTTCCTTATGCATTTCAGTGCCCAGCCCATGAAACGGTGCTTCCCACATTCAGAGTACATCTTCCATCTCAATCAACAACCAAGACAACCTCCCAGAAATCTGTACACAGGCTAAACCAGGCTAACCCAAGTGAGGGAATTCCTCCATTGAGACCCCCTTCTCAATGGTTTATTGGCTGTAGCATGTTAACATCTGAAAACTAACCATCACAATTACTTAGGTTAAAAACTGCCACTGACTAGTTTCAAAAGATTTGGGGGTGCCGAAGTGTGGAAGTTAGCCACAGAATGCTGTAAGTCAGAATATTGGCTAGAGATTGTTTGTGTTTGTGAAAACTAAGCATTGGAGATCATAAAACGATTGCTACAGCTTTTTTTTTTTTTTTTTTTTTTGACTCTAACATCTTGGGCCTTTGAAAGCTGGAGAGGGAAGAGGAGAGAGACACTGGGGATTAGCATGTATTGAAAATGCCGGGAAGTAATAGATCATTCTTGGGGCAGTGTCCCCTGATTCCCATTATAGAAATGACAGACTGAAGGTGTCTGTCTTGTCCATGTCCTAAATGGCCCGGTTGCTAAGATTAGTTGAGTTCAGAGCACATCATGGCCTCGTTTTTCATCCACTGTCCCAGGAGTGACATAGAAGCAGCTGGGAACACAGCAGCATTGTCCCTGGACTTGTACACAGGCCCCCTTTGTTTCTCTTGTACACATTCAAGGCTGTGACAATAGCCTGAATAGCACTGTAGCCTCCTTTCTCCAATGTCGCACTTGTTCATCGGTGCTGAGATTGTCAAAACAATGATTTCCTGCCAGGAGGGGGCACTTTTTCATATTCTGTTTCCCTTTCCATCAGTCTTCAGGGTCAGTGAGTAGTGAGTGAGGACCAGAGAGATCTGGACTGCCAAAAAGGTCACCATCTCAGGAGACTGGCAGGACAGGATACCTCGCCTCTCCTGTGCAAGGTAGGAACCACCATGGACGAAGGAACCAGACAGGTAACCTGGAGAGATTCTCGAGCCTAGGGTAGGGCCACTACAGGCAATGGTTGAGTGCGTAGTCCAAGGATGGGACTCTGGGTTGGACACACTCTATTTACTGGAGAGACACCTCTGACTTACACACAGAGAAAAGCAACTGTAGGCAAGTTTAACAGCCTCCCAGCAGGGAAGCAAAGCCGGGTCTGCGGTATCCATGGGTTTCACATCTGAGAATGTAACCAATGCTGCGTTAAAATTTATCATTTAAATTTCATCTGTCCTGAGCAGGCACAGACAGTTTCCCTTGCCCTTGTTTTCCTTGCCCATGCACAGAACAATAAATAGTTACAGAACCCTTGTGTCGTACTAGATAGTGGGAGCGATCCAGTGATGACTTAAAGTATGTGGGAAGATATGCATAGTTTTTTCGAAAAAGGCTATATCACATTTAAAATAAGGGCCTTGTGCATTCTCAGATTCTTGGTGTCCCCAGAGGTCCTGAATCCAATCCTCTGCTGATAATAAGAAGCAGCTATGCCTTTTAAAAACATTTTTAAAGATTTATTCACTTCATTTTATGTGCAAGGGTGTTTTGCCTCGGTATATGGCATGTTCTACCCAATGACAGCATTCTCTCCAGATTGAAACATATGCCCCAAAAAGGGGGTGGGAGAGAAGCTCCCAAGTCTCACGTGGTAAACAGGAGGTTACAGTGTCTAGGAAGAATGGAAGCTTGGAAGAATCTTGAGGCCCCCTACCAACAGTATAAAAGGGAGTAAACAAACAAACAAACAAACAAGTAAACAGCTGATGCCTCTGAGACCTTTGAGTGACCAGAATCTTCAGGGACATGTAGGTTTATTGAAGTAACCATTTCTAAATAGTAGTTATTACTATTAAGCTCTTACGGTATGCACATATAGAAATCACTCTATTATCTCACAGTGTTAATAGTGAGAGAACACCAAACACTTACACAGTCATGTTTCCCATTATTGCATAACTCAAACCCAGGAAGTCTGGTTTAAGAATCTGTTCTCCACCAGGAACTCCTCATGCTGCCAATAAACTGAGAACATCTCTTTGAGAGGTCATGCAGTGTAATGCTAAGTCTGTGTACTGACTTTGCCCTGGTTGGATATTGCTTTAAAGAGTTTTGCATTTATTTCATCATCTATTCTAGATGATAACTTAGTCAAGTAGATACTTTATTACCCCCAGTAGACAAGGAAATAGAAGCACAGACAAGCGAAATCTTTCACCTAGGGTCACATGACTTTTAAATGAGGGAGCCAGATTCAAACTCAGTTCTCATTGGAACATTATGTGAACTTGAGGATTGCTCAGCTTCCCTCCTGGCCAGGAGTCAGTGTCCCTCAATGAACCGGTGTGTTTAGAGGGTGGCATTTACTCCTCGGCTTTATAGAATTTCTGTACCCGAACTGTCAGCTGGAGGAATGAGCAGATAGGAAATGACTGGACTGGGGCCATCAGCTTTGTCTGGTATGAGGAAGGTGAGTTTCTCCAGTGGTGACAGGGAGGCAAGAGTATTGACTGCTCAGTGAACGATGCCTCTTGCTTGGCTGTAGATGGACTGAGGAGCTGTATACATGAGATAATAAGTTTTCTTATATAGCAAACACACAGGACTTGGGGAGTATATTCAGGAAGCCGGCTGTATTTCTGCCCATCACTCTATCTAACTATTCTCTGTAGGACCCCACTCTTGTCCTAGGATAAGAGTTAAAGGAAATCTGTAATTTTCCTGGATGACTTTCAGGAACCAAAAATTTCTTCTTTTTTTTTTTCTTTTTTCCAGAGCTGAGGACCGAACCCAGGGCCTTGTGCTTGCTAGGCAAGCACTCTACCACTGAGCTAAATCCCCAACCCCCAAAAATTTCTTAGTTACTTAATAGTTTTAACATTGTGTCAATGAAAAAAACTGATAAGCTCAGTCCTGTGGGAGGGATGCCAGACTTCCAACACCATCTGGGGTGGAAACCTCTCCACCACCTCTCATAGAGTCAATGTTATGCTTTTATCTGACTCTTGGGAGGTCAGCGGGGGAAGCAGAAAAGCCATTAAAGTTTCGGTTTGGTTCCTGTTGTGGTGTGTTAGTTAACTTTCTGTTGCTTGGACAAAATACCTGAACGAATCCACTTTTAAGGAGCCAAGTTTCATTTTGGCTTATACTTCAATGGGGTTCCTCGTGGCTGATACTTCAATGGGGTTCCTCGTGGATTATACTTCAGTGGGGTTCCTCGAGGCATAGTCACAGGGTAGAAGAAGGCTGTTCATGTCCCAGCAGCTGGAAAGCAAAGAGGAGAGATGTTTTAGATGGGGTTCTCTAGAGGAAAATAACCAAGGGTGTGTGTGTGTGTGTGTGTGTGTGTGTGTGTGTGTGTGTGTGTGTACAGAATATATATCAGAGTTTATTAAGTCAGTTTGAAAATAGTAACAACAGTCAAACCACACCTGAGTCACTGAGAACCCAGTAGTGACTAGGTACTGGGTGTGTACACTGACACCAAGACTACTCCATGGCATGGTTGAGGGGAAGGTTTTTATTGTAGACATGAGGGAGAGAACAGCCAGAGACATCTGGAAGGATCTAGAGCAGAGTGAGAAAGTAGTAAACTGAAGATGGCCAGGAGAGAAGCAGGAGCAGAGCAGAGAGGAAGAGTTCAGGAGATCTGAGGGAGGAGGGGACAAAGAGGAGGAGGAGGAGGAGGAGGAGGAGGAGGAGGAGGAGGAGGAGGAGAGAGAGGGAGAGAGAGAGAGGCTGAGCAAGGAAGACAAAAACAGCCACAGGCAGAAGAGAGAGAGCACAGCTGAAATAGCAGGGTTATAAGGAGAATGAGTAGCCGGGGAGGAAAGCCCAGGAGCTGGGGAAATTTACGGCATGGGAGAGGAGGTGAGAAGAGCTTGGGTGCTAGCATGGACTCTGAAATGTGTAACAGTTACTTGGGATACTCAGGGAGCCTGGAGTCCAGCATGTGCTCTGGTGTGCTATTAGGCACCATGGGTAGCCATTTGTCCCTCTGCCAGTGACAGGGAAATAGCTCCTTTGGTAGAGGGGAACCCGCTTCACAAGCTCCTGAGGAGTGCTGGCTTTTGTCTAACCACCAGAATTCAGGGGAAACGGAGTTTCCTTTGGATCTAACACTTGAGACTGGCACCTCAATGGTTGGAGTAGTCCTACAATGGCGGTCTCTCCCTGGAAAGCAACAACTGGTAGTTTCTTAGTCCATAAGGTGAGTGCTTCGGTGGTTCTTATGTAGTGCTGGAAGTCCAGAAGTTTCTCTGGTCCCTGTGGCACAAAGAAAGCTTGGAAATGCTGGTTCTGCTGTTGGTGAAGACATCAGCAGCAGCCACCACAACAACAGAACAGATCAACTTGAGGCCGGGGGAAGGCCAACCTGGCAAACAGCGAGACAATCTTCCTTCTGAAATACCTTTTTAATCTGGGCTGCTACCACAACCAGCGTGTGTCTTCCCAGCTCAATCAAGGCTATCAGGACAGTTCTTTAGGTGAGGCTCCTTCCTCGGGTGGTTCTAATGGGTGGCAAGTTGACATTAAAACCAACCATAATAAGAGAGGGAGAAGCTAAGCTCCAGACATCCCATCCAAGACCTGATCCCAGCGACCTTTCCTTGAGAGGTCCAAGGTCCCAAAGCTTCCACCCCAGTTCCAATACTGCCTCAGGCTGGTGACTAAGCCTTTAGTATATGGCCTTTAGAGGACACCTAAGATCTAGATGGTGACACCGGCTGGACCCTAGGCTTATCTTTTAGCATGACCTGTGGGCATTTCAGACAGTGCACTTCTTTGTAAACTTTGAGGATCTCTGAACTCCCCAGGAAGTGGCTGCCTAAGTCTCCCTCCTAAAGCATCAGAGACAGGACTGCCACAGACATACCACAGACTTGGGGATTAAACAACTTAAATGTTGGAGACTAGAAGCCCAAGGCCAAGGGTAAGCCTTGCAGGTGCCTGACTCCCTCTCTGTTCTGCCGTTGTCTACCTTTCGTGTGTATATATCCCCAGTGTACACTGCTTTGGGATCTACACTAAGGACCTCGTAGTTTAACATAATCAACTTTTTAAATAGTGATTTAGTGTGTGTGAATGTGTGTGTGTGTGTGTGTGTGTGTGTGTGTGTGTGTGTGTGTGTGCTGCATGTGTGCCACCATGCATATGTGGAGACCAGAAGACAACTTGTGTGAGTCAGTTCTCTCCTTCCACCATGTGGGTTCCTGGAATTGAACTCAGGTCATCCAGGTTGGCAGCAAGTACGATTACTCACTGAGCCATCCTTCTGGTCCGTAGCAGGAATCTTAAAAGTTCTTATTAATAAAATCAAACCTGAAGCCAGGTATTGGGGTGAATGTTGGAAGATCAGAGAAGCAGAACAAGCCACAGCTACCTCACCTTGCCAGTTCCTCAGCTAATCCTGTTTCCTCAGACTGGAAGCCTCTCAGTCCTCATCCAGAATGGGTCTCAACTGAACTGTTGCTCAGAGCCTAAAAGCTTAACCAGGCCAAAAGCTTCTAGTTTCTGGTCTTCATGCCTTATATATCTTTCTGCTTTCTGCCATCACTCCCTGGGATTAAAGGCTCACTTTCTGGGATTAAAGGCATGAATCACCATGCTTGGCTGTATCCTTGAACACACAGAGATTCAGGTAGATCTCTGCCTCTGGAACGCTAGGATTAAAGGCGTGTGCTACCACTGCCTATCCTCTATGTTTAATATTGTGGCTACTCTGTTCTCTGACCCCAGATAAGTTTATTAGCATGCACAATATTTAGGAGAACACAATACCACCACACTGGTCCACAGTCAGCTTTTTAGAAGTCCTGTTTCCTTATATAGCTGTATCCAGAGGCACTGGGCGCAGAGGCTTCAGCTTGTAAGTCTGGAAGGCACACATTCAGCATCAAACAGGTACTGACAGCTTCTTTGTGCAAAAGAGTTTCTACTC